CATGCTACTGCATTCTGGACTAGGTGATGGATCAAGACTCCCTCACACACACACACACCAAAAAAATAAAATAAAAATAAATAAATAAATAAATAGCCCTTTTACAGATTGCCTGCATTTTGTTTCATATATTAGTAATTCACTTCTTACATAAGTTTTAATGATTTTGATTAGAAGTTCTTAGTCTTCTCATTTCTAACTGCACACCCATTTTCCTTATTTTTACAGCCTTTATATAATTTGTAAATGATAAAATAAGAGTAAATCTGAAAAAAATCCTCTTTCAATCTTTGAAGTTCATTACTGGCTTAAAACCAATTCTTTGTGTTGTATAGATTACAATTTTCTGTTTTCTCACAACATTAGTCTGACTCTTCATTTTATATTCTTTATATGCGAGTCATTATTCAACCTTTTATTCAGTTAAAACTGGAATTTTTTTCATCTTTGACTTCAGAAATATTGATGTGCACATACTGGGAACTTCATTTTGTGGAGATAATTGCTTACATATACAATTACATGTTTAATTAAGGAAAATTAAAATATAGAACTAGATTATATACATTTATATATACATTTATTGTATACATACATTTGTTAGTTACATAATTATTTGTTAGTATCTGAATTCATTACTTCAATCACTTAGAAGGAAACTAGCCAAATTAATATTCTTATAATTGAATAGAAGAACTGGAGGTTTAAATGAAACCTTAAAAATGACAAGTTTTTATACACACTGAAAACATTTATTTAGCACAAACTATGTATCAAAATCATATTATTATAAGTAAATAAATCCACTTTTAGTATACTTTTGACTGTGAGAGGATAAGGATAGGCTTTCAAGGACATGTTTATAGTGACTTGGAATTTAAATAGATATTTTTATGAACCTGGTCAAATAAGCATTTCCACATTTCCAAGTTTCTCTTTTCAATTCACAATTTAGTAGAATCAGTCTTCAAAGGTTGTGGCACTAATGAATACAAATACATTACTGGAAAAATCAAATCATTTTTTGATCATACAGAACACAAATACAATTCTCCATCACAGGAGAGAGAAATGTTTTCAGGTCTGTCAACATACAAGGAGTGGTGAGGAGTATGAGGACAATTTTTCTCCTCTACCGTGAATCAGTTGACAACCTGCCATAGGTGCTTATCCAACCAACGTCTTGGTTCTCTAAGTTAAAATGTCAACCGAGTGCTTGTTTGTGCTTCAGTATCTTCTATGTGGAAGATTAATGTTCATTACCTCTCACTAAGTGTTGATGCAGGTATCCCTTTGACTGAAGTTATCTAATGTGCTTTTCAAGTGTTCTTTTGGGAAAACTGTCCATTGACTAAGGATGACAACCAATAAGAGCATCACATCTATTCTGGTCAGTCTTGTATCCACATTACCCAAGCTGGTGCTCTTCAACTGGCATGTGGTAACGATGTACAACAGAGATTAGATGCAGTGCAGGTAGAACTAGATTACATATTTGCCAGGGCTATGCTAGCTTTCAACTTGAAATACACTGAAAGAATTGGATCCTTAGACCTTGAGGATTTTTGTGGGTTCTTGTGTTTCAGTGGCTTCCTTCCTCCATATTTGACCTTCTGTCTCAAGAGGTAAACCACAGTTAATAATTAGCAAAGACCAATGAAGATTATTTAAATAAAGCATTCACAACTTATGTTGTAGGTATCCTTCCTCCAGTGTGTCCTTTGATTTTTTAAAGTCACCATTATTAAATCAAACCCTGTTAGATTACGAAGCACCTGACTTTAGAATTAGTGGTTATGTTTTTCACTAAAACAATTAACCAATTGACTCAACAAGCAGCTACCAAAACCAAATAAGTTGACTAATTTTGTCAAATAAGCATTGCCTTTGTTAACCATGAACCCATTTCCATCTCAGTTTCTCAGGGGAATCTCAGCACGCCTTTATATTCCAGCCTCTCTTCAAAGAATGTTTATGCCATACAAAAATTTACTGACCAGTAGCCAGCCAAAAAAATGGCTGTCTAAATCTGGATTATGCATAAAACTTTGCAGCAAGGATGCTTTCCATAGTAGGTCATTTTGAGTGAGAAGTAGTTTCACTAAAGGTCATTTCAGTTATCAAATGAAAACACTAAGGAATGACATTGTCAGCCTATCTTTGTTAACCTGATTACACACCCATCTCAGATTTTACTATCACCTGAGAAATGGATGATCCAACAGGTTTCAAGAGTCCTAAGGTCAACAGTAAAGTGACAAAAGTAAGAGTAGAGGGGAGACTAAGTCTAGATCCCCAAATTTAGGAATGATGAGGGCAAGTGAAACACAGTTCAAGATAGATTTAAGAGATTAGGAGAGAAGCTGACTAGCTAACCAGGCTCAGATGTGGTCAATTGACGAGGTTATGTTAAGCAGAGATGATTCACAATTCTACTGATGCTTCTGAGAGAATTTTTTTTGTGTGGAAATGATCTTAGCATTTGTAAGAACATTTTTGTTGTGGGCTTATACTCAGGTAGTCCAGGATAAGTCTATTTTCTCCATTGGGAAAAAAACTGTTGTGCTACTTACTTGAGACTTTCTTGGTTTATTTTTGTTTGTTTTATTGTTTTGTTGTTATTATGTATAAAAAATGTTTAAAGTCTTGTTAAAGGCAGACAGGAATCCTATGACTTGAGAGAATTTCTTGGGGGAGGAGAGGTTTATGGCAGATGCATTTGACAACAATAATGTAACTTAAGCATACCCTGTATGGCAGGTGCACATGATAGAAATAACAATTTAAGAAAGGAAGGTTGCCATGTGGAGGTTGCAGGTGGCGGGGCGGGGCAGGGCGGTGGAGGGAATGTACTATATAAGCTGCGTGCTTTTCACAAGTGGTAGTGGTTCATCAAGTCTGCTGCTGCTGGACTGTCTCTGTGTGTAAGTTTTCCTAATTTTTTTTTTTTTTTTCCTACTTGTGTCTCTTCTTTGGCCTCCTGAACTTGACACCACCCCTGTTGAAGTTAATAGGGATCTGGCATGATGGGGATAAAAATTCCAATGCATGAATTATAGGATTTCTTTAAGCCTGTGAGGGGAGGCCCCAAATCATATTCGCTGGAGGGCTCTTCTATTTGAGAGAAACACAAGTGCCTGATATCCTGGCCCACGCCAGAAACAAACAAACAAGAAAAGGCCACTACATAATATTGCTTCAAAACTTTAGACTTAGTTACTTACATTAGTTACAATATAGGCTCTTGCTTTTGCCCTACCTTTACAGTGCTCAGCTTCAGTTTCTTACAGAATGGTCAAATGCTATTTATGAAATTTTCTGAATAGCTAGTCATAATCTGAATTCCCTTCATAGTTTAAATAAACAAATTATTTTTGTTACATTTCATGAGATGTTTCGAAAGAAGTCTTCTGTGCGAGAATTCCATGTGTCCTTTTTATTTATTCAGAAAACTGGTATTGAATGATCACTAAGCTCTAGGCTTTTTCTCTAGATGCTAGAGGTAAAACAGAAGTAAAATAAATAATCAGAAAAGTACATAAAACATACTGTGTTTAGTGAATAAGAAAGAAATAGAAGGTGTATAGAAAGTGTAGGGTCTTAAAATTTTTAGAAGATAAAGTTCTAAGAGACGCCTCACCAGTAAGATGACATTTGCATAACGACCTAAAAGAGGTGAGCAAGTAAGCCATTCCAGTAATTGATAAATGATTATTCCAGGAAGTGAGAAGCCCCTCTGAGGTGGCAGCTTGCCTGGCTTGTTCAAGGAACAGTAAGAAGTGCAGTGTGTCTGGAGTGAGACGAACAAGAGTAAGAGTAGTAAGGAGAAGAAGGAAATGAGATTAAAGAGGTAATGAATATACAGATCAGGTAGAGTTTTATAGATCATTATAAGGGCTTTGAATTTTGCTCTTGTTAAAATAGGAGCCCTTTGAGGGTCTGAGTGAAGAACTGACCTTATCTGCCTTAGCATTTTAATGGTATAACTCGGGCTGGTGTGTTGGGATATTGTAAAGATGAGGAGGGCGTAGATGGAAAAAGGGAAACCAGGCAGAAAACTGTGAAATAGTCTAAGTGAGTGATAATGGCAGGACAGTAGCAGTAGTTACTGAGAAGTGGTAGGATGTCTGATAGGTTTGACTTCATGGTCAAAGGGATGTATTGATGCATTAGATGCAGTTGAATTAAAGATTTCCACCTATTTCTTAATTAGTAGAAAAGTTACTCTGAATATGATTGTGTAGCTAAACTCTATCAACACTAATTTTCTATCAGATTTTACTGTTACCTTTAAATATGCTATTGAAACTCTGAGAAATTAGTATATGTTCATCAAAAACTCAGTCCTAATACTAGCAAAGCTGCATTGTTTAAAAAACTGGTATTAAAGAAGTTTATTTTTAATCTAGAATCTTATTTTCTACCTAGAATCTTATTTTTCTGACTATAGAAAATGGATGTGGAAGGAACTGGCTCAGTAATCACTATCTAGTCACTAAGAGAATGTGTGATTGTTTGGCTCTTGGGGTTGGTCAAGGAGCCAATGAGGTCAAAGTCACAGGTGCACTCTTTGTATAAGCTTATGAACTTTGCGTTTTCTCCTCCAGAGAATCTGTTTCTGATCTCATACATTCAACTCAAAAAAACATTACCTTGCTCATGAAGGTAACCTGCAAAACAGTATGGAGAGGTCAGTCTAGGTCCATCATCATTTCTAGAAACACAATTCATACCACTTCCTTTACTTACTAGCAATAGAAGTAAATGACATGTCGTCATATTTAGACAATACATTATGACTAAGGAAATAATGAATACAAATGTTCTGCAGAATTTTTTTTTTTTAGTGAAGTATACATATGACTTAAAGTATTTTTATAAGAAAATTTTTATTTTATGTATTTATTAAAAGTATAGAAAATAGCTTTCAATAACTAATGTAAAGCTGTAAAATAATCATGACTCTTACTGAATTTACTTCTTTTTCTATTTTATTCCAGAACCTACAGATAGACCACCTATACTATTAATCACAAATTTTGAAACAATTGAAATTTTCTATCTTAATGGAAGTAAAATTGCAACTCTAAGCTCAGTCAATGGAAATGAAATTCATGCTCTGGATTTTATTTATAATGAAGATATGATTTGTTGGATTGAATCAAGAGAATCTTCAAATCAACTCAAATGTATCCAGATAACAAAAGCAGGAGGATTAACAGATGAATGGACAATCAATATTCTTCAATCCTTCCACAGTAAGTGTTTCAATTAAATATTATATGCCACCCTTTACTGATTTCATTTACAGACCCGCAGGCTGGATTCTCAAATTTCTAGCATAGATCATGGCTGTTGGAAAGCTGTATGTGCAAATACAATGAATTTGAATTACTGTATTCACTACATGTTTTGCGTATACAAACACATACACATACACTTTCTCTATTTAGGTAAATAGTAAATTGCAGAGTTAATTGTAGTTCTTTCTTTAAGGCTTTTTACAGTGTCATCTAACTGGGAATTTTGATTTTTTTTTTTTTTTCCCACTGAGTGGTAATTCACAATGTGATAGTGAAGGTGGGATTTAAAAAAAAAAAGGGACAGAGTTGATAATTATAAGTGCATTGACTGTAGTTAAAAAATACCTTAAATAATTAGGTTTATGCTAATTGGGAGTAACTACCTGTGTTAACTCTCTTTAAAGCAAATCAATTTTTATACATCCTCTTCCAACAAACTTGTGATTTGTGATTCACTTTGACTTCTCATGTCAGAAACTTGACAGACTAGCTGTCCTTCTCTTCCTGCATATTACCATAAACTGAAATCTCATTGTCACACGCACACACACACACACACACACGGAGATGCACACATATTCTCTCTCTCCTTCTCTCTCCCTGCTTCCACATGGAAGTACAAAAATTGCTTTGTGTATGCTTAGGGAAACCATAAGCATGAAAATTTTAACATGTATCCATGTAATTTATGATTTATAGAAAGTGTTTCTTACAAATTCAGCTAAGATAAAATCTAGAAAAATGAAGAGAAGCTGGGCACAGAGGCTCATGCCTGTAATCCCAGTACTTTGGAAGGCTGAGTTGGGTGGATCACCTGAGGTTAGGAGTTCAAGACCAGCCTGGCCAACATGGTGAAACCCTGTCTCTACTAAAAATACAAAATTAGTCGGGCATGCTAGGGCATGCCTTTAATCCCAGCTACCTGGGAGGCTGAGACAGGAGGATCGCTTGAACCCAGGAGGTAGAGGTTGCAGTGAACCGAGATTGTGACATTGCACTCCAACCTGTGTGACAAGAGCAAAACTATGTCTTAAAAAAAAAAAAAAAAACACGAAGAGAAATGTGTACAATCAAGTTAAGTGGAAAAGAAGAATGCTGTGATAGGATAAAGGTGATTTTCAAATTTAGAATATTTGGTCTAGTTTCAATAATTAAAGCAAAATAGGACATACAGGTATAATTTTATATACTTAAATGAACAAAGTGTTTAATAAATATTGTCGAACATTTTGAAGATCCTCTTAATATAAATGAAACAATTGATAAAGTTATTTATTGTGAAAAGAGACCAAAATTATAACGAAAGCAGTGGATATTTCAAGAACTCTATAGAGAAATGGTCATCCATATTAAATAATAATACATTTAATAGAGGATGGCAAAAGGCAGATAATCCTTATCATGTAATTTATGTTATTTATTATGTAAGTAATAAGGATTATCTGCCTTCTGATACAAGTATTTCAACATTGGCTTAGGCAGCAGCTGGAAACTGAACACAAGGCCCCAGTCCTTGCTACATTAGTGATTACCTCAACTAACCCAAATGTGTTTTCCTCAGCGAATGGAATACTGAATAGTCAAACAGCTAAAATATTCACTAAGTTGCCCAGTAGAGTTATTTTCTAAGAGTATTTAAGAACATTTATCTACAGTTAATATGTAGAAGACTACACTTAAAGTAGTCTTCTCTTCTTTAATATATGTTTTAAAAACAACTATTTTTTAAAATAAATCTAAGGAAGGTTAAACAATTGCATATTGAATATTTGCAGAAAATAAGTATAACTTAAATTTGATTTATTAAGCAATTCAGCAAACCTAGAAACATGTTTTGTTGTCATTGTTGTTGCTAGAGAATTCAGTGAAATGCCAAATAGAATATTTATTTTGAATAATAAAAATAAATCCACTGAAAATATTTTAATCTGAGTAAATAATTTGTGATGAGGTTAAGTTTAAGCATGCAATTACATAGTCACGTTAGAAAAAAGTGATTAAATACGTGGAAGTAATTCAATGACTGGAGTGGGGCAGGGGTGTGAGCAGGGCTGAGCTTCTCTGTCATTGCTTGTAAGCCACGCATTTTATCAACATGTCACAGAAGAGCTGCCATTGAATACGATGGGCTCTGTGTTCACTGTGACAGTTTGTGAGATGATGATGAAGTTTGAATATTCTTTGCATCTATAATTACATAAAATCTTTGTCATACCATATAAGCAAAAATAATGAACTGATGGAAGTCAGCCTGAATACCTGTCACTTTTATCCACTGTTCCAGAGATTCTCTTTAGTTCCTCCCACCCCCGTTATATGTAGGTGCTTTTCTCTTAACTCACCTGAAGAGAACATACTTTTTTGAGAAAATATAAACATTTTAGTTTTCAAAGGATTATTATGAGAAGAAAATCAAACATTGCAGGTCAAACTGACTTGCAGTTAACACTTCCATAATATAGTAGTAAATATTTTATTGCAATATTTTAAAAAATTGCACATCTCATCTCATTGGATACCCACTGCATCCCTGTGTAGTAAGCAGGAGAGATATGCCCTTCCTGTTTTATAATAGATGGTATTTTTACTTAAAGTTCAGATGTATTAGGCAAACCTGGATGGCTAAAAAGAATGCAGAAGTGGGACATCTAAGCCCTGTTTTTTTTCTTTTACACTAGAAAAGCAAATCTACCTTAAATGATATATTTTGACTGTGTTAAATATGCTGAAAGACTATCTGCAACAGGAGATATTATTCTTTTGTTTTTATGGGAAAATTGAGACTGAGCAGTTAGATCATTGTACACAGCATAATTAGGTAGGTTTGCTTTTGGGTCAGACTTTATAGCTTTTTCTAAATACCACGCTGCATTTAGGTCTCAACTTTTTCATGTTAGCAAAGCAAAAATGATTAGGTCTACCGATATTAGTAATGTTGGCTTGCAAAGACAGGTCCTCTAAGTGGGAGAGCGTTGTATGAATCTTGGAAGGGAGGTGGAAAAAGTGGGTTGTAGAAATCTATAGCATTGAAAAGGCCGACCCAATGATTCTGATGTGGCCTCCTTAAAAGTCTTACGTTTAACATTGTACATCATTCCTAAGCAATATTGTGAGAGAATCAAGATGAATGATAATAATATGCTCAATAAATTGTATTAATGAACCTTGGGGGAAATGATAGAAATTAAATTTCCTATTGAATTGTATTCTTTTTCATAACGATAACTTAATATTTATTATTTAGCATTTTAGCCTGAAAGTTGCAGACTTTGGGGATAATTTTGGAGTTAGGTGTCTTCTAAGCAAAACTTGTTTTTTAAAAAAGTATTCATATAAAGCACATTTGTAGCAGCTGATTGTTTCCCAAAATTTTTCTTGGAGAGTACTGTGGGTAGGGACACAGATACCCAAAATAACAAAAATTATGGGATTTACGAAAGTGTTGAATTCCATCTGTTTCCTCAGGACAAAGTGCATAGAGACGATTGAGATAAGAATATTTTCTGAGTTAATCTCTTATTAAGGAGGATGATTCAGAGCCATATAGTCATCCCCCAGCTGGACAGTAAACACTTTCATTGTCTTTTTATGGCTGAATTCTTCAATACTCTGAAAAATTCAAGGATCACTTTTAAGGTTCTAACATGGATTTAGCCAGCTTCTCTTGAGCCACTTATGGGCTCAACTCCAATCCAGTAGAGTATACCTAGCCATAAATAAAATAACTGCTTATTCTTCATGGACTTAGCTTCTGAATTAACCCTATTCACTGACTTCTATCTTTTTCCTTAGCTTGTTTTAATATCAACCTTATATCATGTTCTATTTGAACCTCTAGCTAGACCTACTAAATTAAGTAGCTTTTTTCCTTAGCTTGTTTTAATATCAACCTTATATCATGTTCTATTTGAACCTCTAGCTAGAGCTACTAAATTAAGTCCTTATTGGATAATTTTTGAATTCTGACTATTTTTTATCTTTTATTTAATTTTATTTTATTTCAAGTTCTGGGATACATGCGCAGGATGTGCAGGTTTGTTACATAGGAAAACGTGTGGTTTGCTGCACGTATCAACCCATTATCTAAGCATTAAGCCCAACATTCATTACCTACTTCTCCTGATGCTCTCCCTTCCCCACCCCACCCCCACAACAGTTCCAGTGTGTGTTGTTCCCTTCCCTGTGTCCATGTTTTCTCATCGTTCAGCTCCCACTTGAAAGTGAGAACATGTTTTTCTTGGTTTTCTGTTCCTGTGTTAGTTTGCTAAGGATAATAGCTTCCAGCTCCATCCATGTCCCTGCAAAGAAAATAATCTTGGTTCTTTTTATGGCTGCATAGTATTCCATGGTATATATGTACCATTTTCTTTATCCAGTCTATCATTAATGGGTACTTGGGTTGATTCCATGTCTTTACTATTGTGAATAGTGCTGAAATGAACATACACGTGCATATATCTCTACAATAGAATGATTTGTATTTTGGGGGGTATATACCCAGTAATGGGATTGCTGGGTCAAATAGTATTTCTGGTTCTAGGTCTTTGAGGAATTGCCACTCTGTCTTTCACAATGGTTGAACTAATTTGTAACATGTAACTAACATGTAAAAACATTCTTATCTCTTGACAGTCTCACCAGCATCTGTTGTTTCTTGACTTTTGATAATCGCTATTCTGATTGGCGTGAGATGGTATCTCATCATGGTTTGATTTGGATTTCTCTAATCAGTGATGTTGAGCTTTTTTCCACATGTGTGTTGGCAATATAAATGTCATCTTTTGAGGTGTCTGTTCATGTCCTTTGCCCACTTTTTAATTTGTGTGCGTGTGTGTGTGCACGTGCATGTGTGAATTTAAGTTCCTTGTAGATTCTGGGTATTGGACCTCTGTCAGATGGATAGATTGCAAAAATTTTCTTCCATACTGTAGGATGTCTGTTTGCTCTAATGATAG